GGCCCCTCTGCAGCCCTTCCAGCAGGTGGGGTTCGGACTGGCTAAACAGTGCTGGGTTTGCGGAGGAGGAGGTGTTACAGAAGAAGGTTCAAGCGTGCTGGCCCTGCTGTCTTGCAAAAGCAGGGGAGCTTGGAAAAAGGGTTGAAAAAAGCAGCAGAAGAAATGTGTAAATGTGGTACTGAGCTGTGATTATAACGCATCTGCTGGCCTGTGCAAGTGTTTTCAATGTGTGTTAATGTTTCATTGATTTCTTGATACGTTTCACATTCACAGAAAATGTTTTCTCCCTAGGATATCTTGGAAGGATGCACGTCTCCTCTTGTGCTGTCCCCTTATTCTGGCTGGGTCCTAGACAGAGTGATTGGGCAATCAGCCCCAGAAACGGCCCGCTCTGAAAGTTCAACGCCGAAAGAATGCACTCCCCTCACAAACCGGTCGCCTTCTCTGGAGAAGATCATGTCTGTTAGCTGCCAGGGCTCTTCACCACTTCCGTCTACAGAGCCAAGCGAAACAAAGGTAACTCTCCGATTATAATCCGTATGGGAGCAGCTGTGAGAAGAAAGTGCTAACTTGCTGCCATAAGTTGTCTGATAAAGGTTGGTTTGTGCTCTGTTAATCTGTGAGGAAAAACGTGTTTAGTTTCAAGTTTTTAGGATAAACAGGTGATGGTAAAATTGGTATCGACAAGATTTTCACAGTAGGCCAAAAGCAAACTCCCTTTTTCTCCATAATTAAGGAAAATTTAGTTGGAGCCGTATAGTTATATGGATTAGCCACATGGGATTCATTCATATGGAGGGAAGGTCACAGTAGGATCAGGCTTGACGTAAGAGTCTGTGAGTACCCCCTTGGGTTCTCTGAAGGCTTTGAATGACTTAGATGTGTTATGGCTCCCTTTTAGAAGGTGAAAGGGTAGGAAGCTGGGCCATGAGCAGTTGAGTTGTGGAAGTAATGAAGCTGATGAAGTACCTGAAAAGAAAACAAATATGCATTGCTATGCATTAAATGATGACTTCACCACATAACAATGATACTGAGCAGCAAAGTTTTGCATCATCTCGGCCCTGTTTAGATTTAAGAAATATATTGTGAGGAAAACATCTTAATGAATCAGCAAGATCTGATAAAAGTTGTAAGAGAGACTCTGAAGACTCCTCCTGAAGAACGATTCAAAATATAAACCTGTCTTGGCTTCTTCAAGCGTAACGTCTTCACTGAGTGTTAAGAGAACATGGGGAGTGTGTCTAGCCTTTCTAGGTGACGCTTAGCCTTTGTGAATGTCCTATACACCCTTGGTATCTCTGCTTCCAGTTTTAGTGACTGGGAAAAGTAATTATCCCAACCTCATATAGGTGCTGGAGGATACTCAGAATGGTGAGAGTACACTACTGGGGTATAGAACTACTCTAGAAAGTTGTGCATTGGTTGACTCCTTTTTCTGTTTCTCTACAAATAATGTGTAGTTTAGGAGACTTGATGTACCTGGTTCCTCCCTGAGTTGCTGATACTGTATTCGGTCACTGATTTTGCGTATATGCTGACCCTGCAGGGAAATGAAGACCTTAGTCTGCTGGAAATGGATCAAGAAGTCTTTTCAGCAGTTCTGCCATCTAAAGTTACAGAAGTTGAAGGCTGCATTCGGATGTATGAAGAGATGCACAGGTTGAAAGGAAAGGTAAAAAAAAAAAAAATACGTTGGCCCACTTTGGGCAATTTAATTTGTATTTTCTTCTGTCGAAATTCCGGTGATTACTACATTGTAGTGATGCTGGCACCTCTGCAATCTGCAGGAGGGGCTAAGGCAACGGCAGGAGCAGCAAGAGCAGATGGTGAGGGCAGTGTATGACCTGGCAAGTGAACAACTGAAGCGCTTTGATGAACTGAAGGAGCTAAAGCAGCATCAGGAATTCCAAGATTTGCAAGAAGTAATGGAGAAGAGGTGAGATTAGCTCTGGTATCCTTAAAATATTATAGCATTTAATCAATGTGAGGATTAATTCTTGTGCCTGGCAATTCTACGCTAGCCATTTGTGCTTGAAAATCTCACCTGCTGCTTTTCTTACATTATCCTGTTATTGTTTGTCTTTCAGAGTAGATCTCTGGCTACTGTTGAGGTTTCAATGGTTGGAAAGACTATATTTGTGACAGTTAAAATTTGTTTAGCTTGGCTTATTTTAAAAGTAAGTTGCTGTGTGTTTGTATTTTCTCTTGTGCATGTCTTGAATACAGTTTTTCTGTCTTTATGTGTATTGTAGCTCAAAGGAGGCTCAGGGACAGCAAGAGAAGTTGAAGGAAGAACACCGACACCGAGCCAAGGTCTGAGACTTCTAAGACTTATCTTTTGTAAAAAAACGTGACTACTGAGTGGGAACTAGAAAGACCAATTCATTCATTTGTATTTACATGGCAGCCCTGGAGCAAGAATGTATTTTCTGGTGCTGTTATAGACACCTACTGCATTGTTGTCGAAACACAGTAAAGGCCCATGTGTTGTAGTAGCAGGAAGGACCTGTAAAGCTAGAGCCATCAGACCAGGAAGGACCTGTAAAGCTGGAGTTATTTAAATATTTTGTGTCTCTGGTGTCTTTTTCTCCCCAGGTATTAAACCTGAAACTACGCGAGGCAGAGCAGCAGAGGCAGCGTCAGGAAGAGCTGGAACGTTTGCGTAAGGAAGAGGGCCAGGAAAGGTTGCGTCGCCTTTATTCCATCCAGGAGGAAGTGCTGCAGCTTAACCAGCAGATTGATCCCAATTATAGACACAAAGACTTGCCAAGAATTGATCTTTCTGCATACAGTAATCGTGGCAACCAGATCTGTGGGCTGGTTTCAGGACTCATCCGCACCACAAGTGAGGTAGAAGCTCTAGAGTTCTTAATTTTGGTTGTCATTCCTTCGTAAAGCTTCTGCTAGTTGTCTTCAAAGGTAGTTTGTTATGAGGCCATTAAATAAGATGTCACAGAAGTGTTTTTAGATACTTGTCCTAAAAGCATCTCATTTAAAAGGAGAATTCTTTTCTATGGCACTTCAGCTGTTCTCTTGAAAGTGGCTTATAAAAATGCATGAGGATTTCTACAGGAGAAAGATTCAATATTAAAATACTGTAAACTCTTGATGCTGTAAGGTTCCTTTTTGAGACAACCATGGAAGCAGAGTGGTTTATAAATTGTTAAACACTGAACACATTCTCCTATACTCGTAAGCCTTTTTGCAGTAACTAGGTGACCTGGTTTGAGGTAGTTTAGTTCCTCATAAGTCTCTTTTTCCCTCCTCTGCCTCTCCTTGAAGAGGGGTATGGGGGAATATCTGTCGCTCACCTGATGGCCGGTTCGGCCTAAACCATGACACTACGTTTCCTTTCAAGTTTTCTTTTTTTCTCTGTGTAAAGGTGGGATACAAACCTTAAAAAATAAAACACTATAATAAGGCTAACTCTGTTCCAGCTTGTCACAGCTGGCCTTCTGCAGAGGAAGCTGTCCAGGCTTTGCATTGAGGTTTACCTTAAACTTGTCAAAGTATGTTATTAATTTTTGTTTTTCAAGATCTTGTGAGATCTAGTCATGGACTAACATTATGACCAATGATAATGTACAAATAAAGAAGAAAAAGATATTTTCATCAAAGAGGATAAAATGCGTAGTCGGCTCCCAGATGATCTGAAGGCTAATGCTTTGTAGGCTCCTTTCTCTTGCCGTTGGTCCACAGATAGCAGAGCAGAAGATTGATGCTATATTACCTCCTCTGTTTCTTGACAGAGAGGTTTCCCTTCTCAAGCAGATGTGGCCAATACTGAACGCGCGCTGCAGGAGATGCGAGGGTTGATATCCAGCATGCAGCAAGAAATCGCTGCAGCTGTGGAAGAAAAAAGGAAGAGAGATGAAGAGGAAGAGAGACAGAAGCAGAAGGAGTTACTGAAAAAAGAGCAGGTGAAGGCTCAGACTCCTGCCCCTGCACAGCACTCAGGTGGAAAGCAGCAGAAGGAAGGTTGGTCAGGCTTTTTTTTTCCTTGGGTTTTTTTTTTTTTCCTTGTTTGTTTGTTTTCTTGCCCCTCCTTACACACTCTTTTACTGTTAGGCTAAATACTACTTCAGAATCTTATTGTTGTGAAAACATACTTTCTTGTAGCCTTTACTTTTAGCACAACTAGTAAAGCGGGTATAGGATTGCTGGCAGCAAACTTTTGAAATGAAACTGATGCAGCATAAATTGACTGTATGAACTGGAGCAAAACCTGCTCTTCCTCGACTGTATGCCATATATTGGAATATTAGAGAATAACATAGTGCCTTCTTGCAAGTGTAGATGGCTCATGGATGAGATGACAAAACATACAAGGACAGACCACTGAAATGGCTTCCTTGAGAGTAAGTTAAATCCAGATATCCTGCAAATACAAGCTACTAAGCTGAAGAAGGACTCCTGTATAGCTTGCAAACTTGTAGTTCATTTATCAACATAACTTTCTAAACTAAATTCTGGGAAGAAAGCACTCATACAGCTGTTAGTTCCTTGCAATTTTTTAAAAAAAAGTTTTCTTAAGGCTTTCTAGAGTTTTAGGTCTTTCTTAGTCTTCTGCTATTTTTTTTAATATCAGGACTTCAAGTTAAGGCAGAAGAAAGTACCATGCAGTGGTACCAGCAGCTTCAAGATGCTGCTGAGCAGTGCGTTGCTTCTTTCAGTGGAATCAGCAACTGCAAAGACAACAATGAGGTATGAACAAATGATTAATACTGCTGAAGACTGATTGTCCTAATTTCTAGGGGAAATGGAATATCTTTCTAATACAATTCTAATTGAGCAGCCTCTATTAACAGTCTGCTCATGCAAACTATCACAGTAGTTTACTTCTCTGTAAAGGTTTTTAAAGTTGTTTGTTTGTTCTGCAGGTTAAGAAGATAAAAACAGACTTGCAGAAAGCAGCTACGATCCCTGTGAGCCAGATCTCTAGAATAGCAGGTTAGGAAAACCCTAAGAACGCAATCCAACTGAAATGCCTTTTGCTGTAAAGATTTGTATCTTTATAACACAACATATCCAATATTTCTCAAATTATGCCTACAGCAGAAAGCTGCTGTGCATACAGTCCAGGTCTTTGCAGCACAGTGTTTGCTTACGTTTTGAAGGTCTGTTGCCTCCCTCAGAGGTGTCTTGCTTCATCATGATTAAGTTTCTTTAATCAGATGTAGCAAACCTGCAGTTTGAGGCACCTTGCCCTTCAGGGTGTAGGTCTACTTTTGTGAAGTTGATGTTGTCTGGTTAAGACTTGTCTGCTGTTTCCTAATCTTCTGTCTCCATACATTCCTTATATATTGGCAGGCTCTCAGCTGAGAGAGATATTTGACAAGATCAATAATCTGCTCTCTGGAAAGTCTGTTCTGAGTGGAGGGCGAACTGTATCTGTGACTCAGCATCCACAGGGTTTGGATTTTGTTTATTACAAACTTGCGGAGAAATTTGTGGTGAGGAAATCTTCTCTTTATTGGGGTGGCAAAGGCAGCTAGTGTTTTAAGAAGTTCTTTTGGACACTGTCCTCTATTTTCAACTATTAAGAACAAAATTGCTAGGTGTTTAGCTTGTATATGTTAATGTTCATATTGATTAGAGAAAGTGCCTTTTTGATTAAAAAA